TGCATAGTTATTCTAGATTTACACTTCTCTGTGAATACATGATGAAAATCTGTGAAGGTCAGACTCATAGAAGGCCTCATTTTGGTAGTATCCTAGAAAAAGGGTTTTTGCATTTGGCAGTTTCTCTTGATAAGAACCTTAAAGTAACAAAATTGAGATAGTCTGTGTGAGGAATATAAGGTGTTCAAGCCTAGAGTTCTGTCACTAGGAGATGGACTCCAAATGTTATAGCCTCAATAGGAACTCATGACTTGCAGGGCTCCTTTTCAGTGCTCAGTGTGTTCTTCACCCTTGGAGCTGTGTGGAAACATGGGACTATGAATTTCCCTTGTGGCCTTGTGCAATGAAGCCTCTTTCTATGAGCTAGTTCAAAGGTTGCTTTTCATTGTTCTTCATTCTTTTGTATAATTTGTTTCCATATAACTCTACCTTCTATATACATTAAATAGTGTAAATCTGTTGCTAGTGCATGTTTATTTCATGTCTGAAAGCAGACAGAAAAATAAGCCTGAGAAAGCATGGCAATTTGCCTCCATCCAAATTCCTGACATTCACTCCAGTTACAGTATCATTGCCTGACATTCTTACCCCTCCTTCTCTGATGTTATGATATCTCCATGGGACTCTGTACATTGAATTCCCTGAGTACACTTGTCCCATTTTCAGGAGGAATAAGCATGAAGGCACAGATGTATAATACAAAGAAGTTTCCTATTCTGGGGGGCCCTGACAACTTTCTAGAAATGAGGAAGCCTGAGAATTGGCAGCCTGAAGTTATTATCTTATAGATCAGCACAGCCAGGAATAGCATAATGATCCTGTGGCTAATGCCTTGAAGTTCTTGGCCTAAATCATTAGACAATCAGATAGACTGTTTCTACCCTGTGTGTACCTATAGTGAGCACCAATGTAAATGTTCCATGGTTCACAATGGAGCATCAAGCTATGTGCCATGTCCCAGTGTCCACTCATGAGAGTTTTCTCAAAACGATCAGTTTGACAGATGAGTGATTTACACTGAGGAAAAAACCTTAGAGGACTCCTGACTGCAACAGCAGCTGCAAATGGTGACAGCATGTCCAGGCTCTGCCTTTGGGCAAGAGGGCCACAGTCATGTTCTTAATGGATGGCTTGATCCTACTTTTGATACCACTCAGTCTTTGGGCCACAGAAACCTGCAGGGTGGGGCCATGCAGGGAGTCATGAACTCTTTGAACTCTCTGGACTGTCCCTGTAAAGTGATTCATCCTAGTCCACAGTCCTCACTGGACACCTCCACTCTAAAAATGAGGCTCCTAATCTGTGTGGTGTTGGCAGGGTATGCATTGAACACTCTGGGCTTGTTTATTCAGTTTGTGTTGGGATGGAGCATTGAATGCAGTGCACACTCTCTGCTCTTTCTCTAAGGTGAGTTTCTGCATTTCCCATGAGACTTCCAGGATCAGAGTAAACAGGGTTTAAATCTAGAAACTGTCATCTGAGGCCAGTATTCATAATGCTGCCAAAAATTCCTGAATGTCTGTGTATCCACCACGTTTCCAGAACCATTGGAAATGGACATCCACAGTCATACATGGTTGCCCTTGCAGGAGAGAGGGAACATGGTCTCCACTCACACATAACTGTTACTGTCCTCAGACTGTTTCTAATTTTAAAAGGATATAATGATTAATGTAGGACATGATTTTGGTTTATGGATTACACTAGGGGATTCCCCTAAATGTAAGGTATACATGCACAATAGTTGTTGCACAGAAGAACGTTGCTTTTAAAGGGAGGAGAAAACAAGTGTTCAAAGATATTGGAAGGGATTGTGGAGTGACTTAAATGGTAGAGTGCCATCTTAGCAGGTGTGAGGCCTTGAGTTCTAACATGATTACCACCAACTCCAAAAAAACCACATGCTTTAGAGTTGGTTTGTTTGCACTGATTAATTCTGGCAACCATTGTTGAGGCAAAATCATGAACCTTTGGGAAGATGGGGAAGCAGGTCAGAGGTTGCAAATGTTGGGTGGATCATGAAAGTGTAATAGGAAGAGTGTTTGCTCTGGTGTACCTAGTGCTCTTTCCATCAGATCAGGTGGTATATGCTTGGACATTGATTGTGGAATTATGTCCATTGACTGCTGGTCCAATTTCCAAGTGAATAAAGCTGTTTGCATCATAACAATTCAGGATGAAGTTCTGCTTAACTACAATGAAACCCCAGGCTGGGTTCAGTAGGGACAAGAAAGGAGGCCTAGCCTGCTAAAGACTATAGTTGGAAACAGGTATTTTGTCCTGGCACTATGTCAGGAAAATGAACCCTTCTCCCCCTTAGTGGTCCTGGATCAGAAGCCAAGGAGAAGTGCTGCAAGGAGAAAACTGTAGGGAAAGACCAAGTAGAGGCCATCAGAAAGAGCCCCTAGTGCTTACCACAGAAAATGCATTTCCTTGTATCACATTTTCTCGACCACTCTGTGCTTCTGAGATCCACTTCTGTAACTCAGTTTCTCACTGTGTATTACTTGTGCTGCTGGTGATGTGACAGAACTGGGCACCACAAGATCAGGAAATGGTGAGTTTTTGACTGGGAAGGACCAGGGCTTTGACACTGTCCTTAGTGGCTGTGATGGAACTGGGCCTCTCCACCACAGCCCTGAAGCTTGTAGACCAAGTCACTACTGGTGCCGTGTTTCACTTAGTCTTCTCTTTTCTATGGTTGGGCCTGGGTGGATGGGTTTAAGCCAATCATTCTGTCAGGTACCTACTTTTGACCTGTCCCAGACCCACAACACTCTCAGGGAGCTCTGCAATAGATCTCATGCCTCTACAGACTGTGGAGATGGCAAAATGTCATGGGTTCCTGTGCAGCATGATCTGTGGTCCTTGGTTCCCTGTTCTCAACACTCAACACTCTGTAGATACATTTGATTGACCTGAGTGATATATATGTCTGAAAACTCGAGTAATATAAATATTTGAAGTCTAAAATGCAGGGTCATTCCCCCAAATAATTACTTCTTATGGCTGTAATAAATTCCTAAATTTATTATTATCCCTGCTTTGCCCAACTCACCAAAAAAGGATTGCATATGCATTTGGTGTTCATGATAAAGTATGTTTTCAGAGGTTTTTAAGGTTTGAGACTGTTGCTCTCTCTGACATTATTGATGTTGACCATGGCCTATGTGTACACAGTATTTTCCAAATGAAGTGCAGATTTAGGTAAGGCATGAACACAGTGAAAGGAGGTGACAGTGCAGGGAGAGCACAAATTTCAATACCTGCTTGGTCTTAAGGATGAAACAGAGCAGGTCTATGTTTTACAGGGAGGAGCAAACAGGAGGAGAAAAAAGGTTGGAGTTGAAGGATCACAGAAGGACACCATCTGTTCCTATAGCAGAACATCTTTCCCTGAGGCCACCCAATCCTGAGAGTGTCAGTAAAGGAGGTGTTATTTACTGGTTCTTATTGGACATGGTCAGTGATCACAGACCTGGAGTAAGCAGAGAACATACAGGGCAGTTTGCATAATGAGTGATCAATTAAGCTACTTATTTTGAGGCATAAAGTGTGGAAATTGAAAGCTTGTACTAGCCTTATTGTAGATTTAAAAGGGAAGGACATCTAAGTGTGATGAGAATAGGAAGAATGGAGGGTGGTGTCTTTAATCACCAGTGTTCACAAGGAATACTTTAGTAATCCTGGGTAAACTTTCAACTGGACAGTGGGAAAAAAAGACACCTTTGGGATGTGCCAGCTGGATAAAATAGCTTACTAATTTCTGAGTTTATTTGTGTTGCTCATGTTTCCTTTTACTGCTGTGGAGTAAGTAAAACTCCACAGAAAGTCCTGAGCAATAGGAGCACATTTGGTTGTTTGTTCTTGTGCTTTTTTAAGTAGTGTCTTTATGGTACTAGTGAGATGATGTACAGTGCCATCACCAGATAACTTCAAGATAGGAAATGATTGTCTGCACCAGTGACTCCCAGCTGCATTCCTTTCTTGAAAGTAGAGATCAGGAGGATCATGGTTTGAAGCCAGACCTGAGATAATTAGCCTGCCTGAGAAAATGTTTGCAAGAAACTATTTCAAAAACACTGAACATGAGGAAGGGATGTTAGAGTGGCTCACATGGTATAGCACCTACCTAGCAAGTGTGAGGCCTTAGATTCAAACCCAGTACCACAAAAAATGGGGAATTGTGACTATACAGATAAGACACATGTAGGCCTGGAACTTACAGTGCTGCCAGTGTCTTGGACTCAGTGCTAAACTTATCAAATGTCTAAAGTTCTGCATTCCAGACTGTCCTCAGAATTAAAATGTGGGATGCCCATTGTGTTGGGGAATTCATTTGAATTTAGCAATGGTAGGAAAAGACAGCACAGCTGTGAATATTGAATTGGCTCTGAATGAGTATTTGACTCCTTTCCCAATGAGTCTGTGTGGTAGCAAGCCATTTCATAGTGGAAGTACAGAAAAATTGTGTGTGTGTAGGTTTCTGAGTGAAATTTATTTAAGCACTTAGGAATTTTTTGTGCTCTTTGCCTGTAAAATTTGAATGATGAAATTTTGCCTTAGCAAGCAAGTTTCATAAATTTTATTCACAATTGGGAAAAATTCTTTTAGGGAGACCTGTGTGAAATAAAATTTAGTTAAATTTGATGGTATATGAATTCATCACTTGATCTTTCCTGGAAATGTGCTTGTTTATTGTGTTGTTTGTGAAATGTTGGAATGACAAAAATCATTTAATTTTGTGTAGTATTAAATAGGATTTATGTTTTAATTATATTTTCCTTGTGTTCATTAGCCCTGATGTTGAACATTTTAAAGTGTGGTCTTTTTGTTGTTCTTGTCCAGAGGGCGAGGACAAGTTCTGCTGACTGTTATTATCTGACAAACTGAAGTATATCTCCCACAAAGGAAGCCTGATTGGCAAGGGCTCCTGGATTCTTTCATTTTTATCTCTGCAGTTTTGCACCTCTTCCCCACTGCACCTTCCCATCTCTCACGGGCTTGGGGGCTGGATCGTGTATCCATTAGCGAATCAGAGCGGCTGTTTAATCGTCTGCTCACCCCGTGCGATGAGGAGCAGGAGTGGTAGGCATTCACGTTGCCTTTCTCATTATCCCATATTGCCATGCGCCTGCTGGTGGGACATTGCTCTGGCTACACATGTCTAGCTGCTGTGTGATTTCTTCTGACTACAGGACCGTAGTGAGGTCACCAGGATGCATCAGACGCGGGGAATGCTGAGAGGGGGCTGGGCATCCGCAGGCTCAGTGGAGGAACTGGCAGATCCAGAAGCAGTGGTGGTATTGACTGGGCCCTGTCTCTTCTGGAGTCTGCAACCTGAACACACGGTCGGGGCCTGCAGTCGGTGGGCGAGTGGAGGGGGGCGGTGGACCGGGAGTCTTGAGCCCCGACCTGTGCACAGGTGAGGGGACTTCATCCCAGTCCACACCCCTGGTGGGAAACTCTATCTGCAAATTCCTGTCCTGTAGACTGAGCTGGCTGGGGAGTCTCCTGAGTACTTATGGAGTTTGTGCCAGGACAGGGCGCTTCTGTGCAGTGCAACCATAAATCCTTACTGGCACCTGGCTTCCCTTTGAGTCCATCAGGTTCAAGGGAACAATGGGCTAAACTCTATGCCCTGTCCCTTCAATGCAGTGCTTCTTAGTGCTGCTAATCAGTCCCTAAATTTCCATGACTCCTGCACATTGCCATATTCATTGGAAATGCGAATCCACATGTGCATGTGGTTGGCTTCTGAGAGGAGGGGACACTTTTTGCCCTTCATAAATTAACTGTTAATTTCCATAGTTTCTTTCTAGAATGTTATTTTATAATGAATGACAAACTTAGCCCATGATTTAAGAGAATTACTCTAGGGGGAAAGCCCCAAAAGTAAGGTATGTAGGCATCTCAAGGCAGAAAGGCTTATTTGCTCACAAATTGTAGTTTTGCATTTAAAGTGAAATGTTCAACCACTTGAACCATATTGCCAGTCTCTTTTGCTCTTGTTATTTTCTGATTTTTGACTGTCAACCTGATGTCAGTCTCCCCATTACCTAGATTTACAGGGAGGATATCTTAGTTTGATATGGGGATAATGGGAAGAATTTTGGCTTTGCTCTCCTTTTCTAGTGCAGAAATGATTGGAAGTGTGTGTTAATATGTAGAAATTTATAAGTGTTACAACATCAGAATATATCATTTCACCACTTTCCTTTTGTGTTTGGGTAGATGGTTACACACAGTGTAATTTGTGCCAATGAAGACCAGTCTGTTAGGCCCAGATTACAAAAAGACACATTTATATTTTTCCTGAAAGGGCAAAAGTTGTTACCTTTGGAAGGTGATGAGGGTGCATAGTATAAATTAAATGTTTTGGTCCTTGTATCATTTTCTAGCAAAGGGATTCTGAAATCCTTGAAGTTTTTGAGGCAATAGGAATATATTTGTTTGTTTTCCTTAGACCCATTGAGGCAATGCTTGCATTTATTGTAATGCCTTGTCTCAGTGTGGTACCCTTACAAATAAAGATGTGGTGCTTCATGGACAAGGCAGACATATTGGTATGTTCTCCACTTTTGTTCTTCAACCCATATATGGATGTTCTTACTAATCGTTCAAACTATAAGGTATTATAACCTAGTCCATAGTTCACTTTCAATGATTTAAGCAAAGGTTTTCCTTGAATACCAGTAGTGAGGAAGAAAGTAAAGAATTTTTGTTCATTTCTTTATTTCCTAACACTGTTTTTCTTTATGTGATCTATGCTCTTAGTTTATATGGTTTTATTTCTGTCTAGAGAATTTTAAACAATTCACAAAGTTCAGATACTGGTGACACATTCTGTGAATTTTAAAGTGTTTTCATTCTCTTCTTGCTTCATAATATCAATCACTTTCAGGTTGATTTTTTGTTCTTCTTGTTCTTGTCTTCCATTGAGCACCTAAAGTGATGGTTTCTTTGAGCTTCTTGTATATCCATCTTCATAATTTATATATAATCCTTTGATGATTACTAAGTCTGTACTGATATTAATTTCTTTGTACATAGTATTTCCACTTTCCTCTTTCTTCAACATGCTTGTCTAAAATAAAATCGTTTGATTTTACTTTAGATAGTCACAAGAAAATCTTTGTGAAATGAATCCAATGCCTGAGATTTTCCAGCAATCAATATTCTCATTGTGAAAATAGAATTTTGGACCCAGAGCCCAAGCTCCTTAGATGCCTTATTCTAGGTCCAGCTAATTACCCTTCAATTGCAAATAAAGAAATAGGGAAAGGAGAATTATTACTTGGCTATGGATATGTGTGAGATGAGGCAGCATAAGCACGGAGCTCATGTTCACCATCTACAGGCTACAGACATGAGATACAGATTTAAATAGGCAAAAAACTGGGGGCAGGGTCCAAAGATATGCATAGTTAAAGTGTTCCACTCACAGGTGTGGTGTAGTTGTTATCACTCAGGTGTAGTTTTGGGAGAGGTTCTGGAGTTGTTATCCAGAGGATGGTCCTTCCAAAGGAGGGTCTACTGTTGGAGGTGGATTTGGTTTCAGGTCATGAAGAAAATATCTATCTTCTCCTTCCTAGATTCCAAGGGGGTTTCAAGGTGACTGCTGAGGATGGCTCAGAGAAGAGACTGATTGTAAATGGAGAAGTGTCATGTTTTTTCCTGATTTTAGCGGATTCATGGACTGAGTATGGGGTCTATGCTTTTTAGCAAAAGCAGTCTGAGGAACTCCTACAATGCTTTTTGACTGACAATCCACATTTCCCTGTCTCTTCATATTTATTGATATTTGTTCCTTGTCTGTGAAGTGAGGATTTGATATTATCTTCATTTAGAGTCTTCCCATTTTCCTGGCCTGCCCTAGAACCACAATTTTCCTGAGATCACAGGAAAATTGTCCCCATGGTAAAATGAGTGTGAAATTCTCTCAGCATATTTCAGGCTCCATTTCCCAGTTTTAGAAGAAGGGTCCATTCTGAAAACCAGGTTACACTTAACTACAGTGAGTCCCCAGACTGGACTGGGTAGGCACCAGGAAGGAGGCCTAAACTGCTGAGGGCTGTTGCTGGGTTCAATGATTGAGTTTTTGCACTCTCCCTGGTAGGGGATCTCTTCTGTTACATAGATCTCAAGGGGTTTGTTTTGGATCACTAGCCAGTGAGAAGTGCTTTAGAACTCTTGAGTCACAGGCTGGTCTAAGGACGATCCTCTGCTTAGTATAGACAATGCCTTCTGGTCTCTGACATTTTCTGGATCACATTGTGCTGCTGAGAGCAAGTCTATGTAGTCTCTTTCCTATTGTGATCTGGGCATGGGGCCAGGTGAGTGAGAAGAACTTAACTCGCCAAAGAAGCCTGAAATGTTTTTTTAACTAGCATCTCAGACCCTAGGAGGATGAGGAGGTAAGAAAGGGCCTGAAAAGGTTGGTACAGACCTGGACCTCCCAAGCACATCAATGCAGTTTGTGGTCTGAGTCGCTGCTTGTTCAGCTTTTCACTTTTTCTTCCCTGCCCTGGGGTGAACTTTTCAGATGGGGAAACTGTTGCATTCTGTCCTTTATGTGCAGTGACATAGTCCTAGCCCAGAGCCCTGTTAGGACTCATCAGCACCTGAGCTCTAGGTCTCCCCAGCCTTCACTGGGCAGAAGGTTTGGCTTCCTTCATTATCCTTGGGGCATTGGTGATTGCCCAGAATTAGCTAAGTGTTTAGAAGCTGATCCCAGAATAGGGCCAGTCCTCAGCCCAGTTCTTCTTAGGGCTGTCATAAATTCCTAAGCTGACTTTGCATTGCCCAGCTCACTGCAAAGTCTCTGTAAGTGCATGTGGGGTTCATGACAAAGCAGATATGTTGAGAAGGTGTTCAAGGTTTGAGGTTTTGCAATCTCTAACACATAAATGGAGTTGTCTAGATAGTATGTTCAAATTTTTGATGGAGACAGAACCTCATCATATTGAATTTGCAGTGGCATGACAGCACTGTGTTGGAGGACTGTAGGGTCTCAAGGGTGAGGTAGAGATGTGATTTCTAGGGCGTAGCATACTCTAGTGGACAAACTAGGGGATAGGAAGGACACAGGTGGGGCACCATCATCTCCTGGACCAGATATCCTTTTCCCTGAGCTGACCTTTTCTTTAAGTGACCATAAAAAGGCATTGTTGTTTTGCCTCAGATTTAGGGTTGGTCATAGAATTCAGGACTGTAAAAAGGAGACAAAGTTCAGGAAAATTTGCTTATTAGCTGTTCTGTTTCTTCTGACCAATTAAGGTAAAGTTTTTGAGGCAGAAAGTGGGAATAACAAAAGTGTGAGTCTTACCTTATTTTAGGTTTACTGTGGGAAGACATGTAAGTGTAATGGGAACACAAAAGATGGTGTTATTTAATCAAGAGTGCTTTCTAGGATTACTTTGCCTTGGTAATATTTCAGCTGTTTGTATTTTCTTTTTTTGTGGTACTGTGGTTTGAACTCAATGTCTCACACTTCCTAAGCAGGCCCTGTACCTCTTGAGCCTCTGCCCCAGCAAGTTCTTTGCATTTACATTAAGGGTGTTTGTCTTGTCAGAATGTACCTTGGGACAATTGAGAAAACCTGTGAAGTACAGTGGGAAAACAAGATACGTTGAGGGTTTTTTGAGTGTATGGAATTGGTGTGATAGCTACAGCCTCTCTTCTACTTATTAATTGGGCTCACTGGTTGGTATGTTCTTTTTTGACTTTTTTTTCTTTTTTTCAGAACTGGGGCCACTCTGCCATCCTTTTTTTGTGAGGTGTTTTTTTTAAGCTATGGTCTCACAAACCATTTGTCTGGTCTGGCTTCAAAATATGATTATACTGATCTCTGCCTCCTGAGTAATTAGGATTACATGTGTGAGTCAATGGCACCCAGCTTGTTCTTATTTCTTGGGTGATAATGGGTTGACTGAGGGAATGAACAGGTGTGAGAAATCCTTGTCCATGTAGAAAAGTGATGGATACCAACATACCATGACCACACCAGGCCTTTTTTCCTGTTCTACTGAAGCCTCACTTGCCCTGTCCTACAAATAGATCCTTTTGTGAAATCAGTGACTATAGCTTTAGATGCTGAGTGTGGAATATTCTCAGCAGACTCCTGGTCC